TTTTAAAAAAATAGATTAGATATAAATTTATAAAATTTAAGCAGGCAAATTTGCCTGCTAAAACTGGACGGTTTAAGAGATAATAAAGAAATTGTGATAAAAAGTACTATAAGCTTAACAAAATATATATATAAATTAGCCATTATTATCATTAAACTTATTTGAGTAAGTAATTTATGCAATATATGTATTTACTAAGAGAAAACCTGTTAAAGGCTTCAATTAAATTCTTTATTAGATATAGCTTCTAACAAATTAGATAGGTTAAATCTAATATCATAATTTGTAAACAATGAAGTTTTGTTATTTAGACTTTGTCATTTAATAATACTTGAAAAACAAAAATAACTTACCATTATATATTGTTTTATATTGTATTTATTCTTTATATATTTCTTTCAAAGTTAAGAATTTTTTTAATTGTTGTTATGGATAAGTTTGTAATCTGTGGTGAGGAAGCTTTTTTATTAAATAAGCAACGTAAGGATAAAAATAAATCTTCTAGTTCACAAAAAACTTTAAAAAAAAAAAAACTTGAAGACAAAAAACATGAAAGAAGCAATTGGAATCCAGAACAGCCAAAGCAATTTCCATGGATAGACCAACGAATTATTAATGGAAAACCTCTTTTATTTTGTCTTTGGTGTGAAAAGTACTCAGCTGATAATATTTTTGTAAAAGGCTGTAGTACATTTCGAAAAGATTATCTTAAATAGCATATCAAAATAAATGACTATATAAATGCAATGAAAGCTTTTAATCAACCAACTAATCAAATAGACTTATTTACTGGATTTTCTATTCAAGCTAATTGCAATAAATTGGAAATTATTTCAAAAATACGATGTGTATATTTATGTGCTCAAAAACATCTTCCAATTTTTGCTTACCCAGATCTTGTTAGTTTAGTGGATATAAATCTTAAAAATCAAACAGAATTAGTGTATGAAAATGAGCTTCAAACCTTGGAATTACCATTTTTTGGGCCAAAAAAAGCAACTTCAGGTTTTAATGTTTCTGAAAGTTCATTATCAAATTATGCAGAATATACTAATCCTGTTTCTGGAGCTACCTTCTTACATGCAATTGCTTTAGTAATTGAGGAATCTGTTTTGGAAGAAACAAGAAAATCATCTGCTTGGAGTTTGCTAATTGACGAAAATAATACAATTATATATGATAAAACTTGTGCAATTGTAAGCAAACATATAGCAAATAATATTCCTGTATTTCGGTATTTTGGATTAATTGAATTAAAAGAAGTAGATGCAGCAGGCATTATATATAATTTAAATAATTTTTTTTTAGTAAAAATGTTAGACCCTTTAAAGTTATTGCATTTTAGAAGTGATGGTAATAGTAAAATGATAGGTTAGTATTATATATTTTTAAATTATTAGCATATGTTATTTATTAATTATTTAATATTTATATAAGGAGTTCGAAATGGTGTTTCTACAAAACTTAAAAAAAGTTAAATCCTTTTATGAGTAATTGTCATTGTATTGCTTATTGATTAGCATTAGCTGGAAAAGATTCAGCAAAAGATGTGCCTTATTTTCTTGATTATGAAGTTACAATTAAGGAACTCTATGCATATTTTGCTAATTCGCATAGTAGATGGCAAAATCTTCAATTAATTCAAGCACAAGATGATGAATCTTCGGAATTAGCAATTTTGCAGGTTGTGTCAACCAGATAGCTTTCTTTATCTAATGCCATATCTAATTTATATCAGATAATGTTTTCTGTAATAGATGCACTTCAGGAAGATGTAAAAAATAATTCTATAGCTAAAGCACAATTACGTGCACAAAACTTATTAGATGAACTAGATGCTGATTTTATTTTAGCAACAAAATTTCTTGCAGATATTTTGGCAATAATATCAGCATTATATAAAATATTTCAATCAGATTATGTGGCTCTTTCAGATGTTCATCAGGAGTTAAACAAAGCAATTAATTCTATTACTATTGAATTTATTGGATATCCTGATGAAAATATTAACCCAACATTAGGAACACATTTACGTGATTATTATATGCAATATTCGATTGATACAATTCCTAGCTTTATTGAAGAATTTGCTAATGCAATAATAATTAACCTATGATACCGATTTCCTAATACAGCATTATATAATGCTATGCATATATTTGATTTTAAACAAGTTCCATCAGCAGTACAACAAATGAGTATATTTGGCGAAGAAGAAATTAAATATCTTGTTGAATATTATGAAGAAAATCAAATTGAGAATGGTCAAGTATTTTCTGCAATTATTAATAAATATGAGCTTATTAAAGAATGGTGAATCGCCAAATTAATTTTGTGCAATTTTACAACTTTTCAATTTGTTGAAGGATAGGAGTTTATTTTTCGTACTACTCAATTTATTACCCAATATCCTAATTTAACTCAAATTATATATTTATCATTAATAGTTCCTATTTCAAATGGAAATGTTGAACTTGTATTTTCTCAACAAAATTTGATTAAAACAAAGCTTCGTAATCAAATGCAATTAAATACACTTAATTCTCATTTAATGATAGTTACGAATGGTTCTCCTTTAGATAGATTTAATTTTGAAAAAGCATATGATGTATGGAAACGTTGTCCTAGAAAAAAATAAGTTTTATTATAAAGTAAAATTGCACAAAATATTTTATTAAATAAAGATTTTATTTTCCGCATATTAAATTTATTTCCGCAAATGTATAATTAATTAAAAATGTAAAATACAAGTTAATATATCAATTCCACAGATTTAATTAAATTTTAAATGTATTCCGCATAAAATTTTAAAATTCAATTTTAAACACTGATTATGACGCAGGTGGGTATTGTGACGCACTCGTGTTTTTTGACGATATCTCGCGATACATTGATCAGAATCGAGTAATTTTGGTATCGTCTTACTGAGACGAATCAAATGATATAAATTTTTTTTGGTTCTAATTGCTAAATCACAAGATATAAGTAAAAGTCGGCATTACTTATGATAGTATTAAGTTTCTTTTGATTTTTATAATATATTTCTTTATTTGGGTAATGTCTGGAGGAAGGATGCAATAATACAATACAAAACACATAGTGAACATAGTGCGTCATAATACCCCCCCGAATGTTAAAAATATAGCATTTTTTGAGAAGATTATGAAAGCTTATAGTTCAAAATTTTTTTTTTAGAAGTTGATTTTTTTTTTTATTGGCAGATAGTTAAATAATTGAGTAATCTATTTTAATAATTTTCAAGAATAAATATCTGGAAAGTTTTATATAAGCAACTCTTAGGTGCGTCATAATACCCGACTCTACCTTATGCAGCGCTGTACGGTAATACAGTAAATTTATTCTCTTTTTTGTTATTCATATAAGTATTACAAAATTATAAAAATACAATACTTCATACTTTTAGTAAATTAAAGTCAAATGAGGTTATTAATATTAAAAATACTTATTATTAAAAGCCTTCACAAATTAGCGAAATATTAAAATCTATTGCACTGCATTATAAAATGTAAAATGAAAAGTTATCTTTGTGGGCAAGATTCTTTTTACTTTACTTTTTTATCTCATTTTAAACTTACTTCATCGTATAATATTTAACTTTCTAAGTACGCACTATATCCTGTGAGTGTAGTTTTCTTTTAGAAACCCTGAAAACGATGATTGGCCGTTGTAATTTACTATGAAAATCTATAAGCCCGATCGGCCCATATGATTGGCCGATTTCACATCTAGATATAAATAGAATATTCACACTGTTAATAATTCGACGAAAACTTTCGTTCATTTAACGCCGACACCACTAAATTTTCAAAATTCTGAATATAAGAATACCGTATCTAAAATAATGGATTTAAAATACGGCCTAATATGCTTATATCCAGAGTTGGCAAGGTTTTCATCATATGAAGAAGGTAATTATTGACTATATTCGTATTTTTCAGAAATGCGTGTCAAGAGGGTAAATTCAAATAGTTGATTATTTAATAGCTAAAGAATGGTTAGTTAGTGAAGGCTGTAGCCAAATTTCAAACAATTCTACCGATATAACATTGGATGACCATTCAATTGATGATATAAACGACGATACGGAAAGTGAGAGCTCCTTTGACAGTAATGTTACCGACGAATCACCATCATTTGATAACAAATTTATGCAAGATTTTGGTGAATCTAATAATGATGATATCTTAAGTAACAAGATGGCAGATTCTGTACAAACAGGAAATGGTGATTCATTAAATGATGAACATAGAGATAAACCTGGAGTTTGGAAATCTACTCAGCAAAATTCGGTAGAAGCTACCAAAGTAATCAATGTTAATCCTTCAACATTTAGAATAGGATTACGTAGTGTAAGGACTTTCTCTAATTTACGGTCAAAGGCAGTTAAACCCGTTAAGATCGAAGCTAATAAGCCATACGAAGGTAATAAAATACAACGAAAATTTGTGTTCATTTGATTAGACATATAAACATTCAATTAACAACCGGGTATGATAATTTGTTGCAACATATAAAGAGAGAAAGTATATTTGCCCTGATCCACTTTGTAAAGCAAAATTTGCAAAATCATGTCATTTAAAAGCTCATCGTGAAGTTCACGCAAAAGGATTTTTTCCGTGTTCATTTGAGGATTGCGGCAAGATCTTTTTTACAAGGCGTGATGCGTGCAACCATTTTTTACTAGACCATGATGAGGTATATATATATTTTTGTGCATTGATCAATATTTTGAATCTGAAAGTCTTGATGAAACCACTTTGCAATTAATTTCTATATGCTCTTAAATAGTGGGAAAATCAAACATGAGCATTTATTCTGCTCGTAAAGCAAATAAGAAAGATGGAAGTTTGCAATATTACAAGATTACTCAGGATTGTTCGTTTGATTGCAGCAAATTTGCTTTTTAGCTGATAATTGAAATGAAAGGAAAATTGCTAGAAAAAATTGATATGTAAATAAATATGGCACACAGAGTACGAATATCATTATATTAGTAAAAAATTTAATCATGGTTGAGTATAATGATTGAGTATCATATAATATGATGCAGGTCAATTTACTGCAATAAGCTAGTAAGAATTCATGGTAGATTGCGCTGTGAAATAGAAAAATATTTTTGCATACACAGGTTCTTAAGAAAATTCATCTCCGACTTTGAAACTAGAGGTTGTGCCCGGGTAGAAGTGGCTATTATATGGCTACCCAAAATGATACAATCTCAGGAATTTTTTGCCCAAGTTTATTCCATTGGCCTTAAATGTAAATTTGTCGATCGGACACCCAGATATCAAATTGCCTAATTTTACACAATAATCGGCAAAATAATTAATTTAAGTTGGTCATTTAGGCAAGATTCGAATCGCTATCTGGGATAAATTACATCTGAGGCACAATATATCTAAGAAGCCATATGAGTTTTTTCTAGGTAAATTGACTTCAAAACTATGTAGGTTTATGAAATTTACTAGCCACTAACGCGGAGTAAGGCCGAAACGAGAATATTAGAAAGAAATTTGTGTAAGGATGCCAAAATTATTAGAGGATAAATTTTGTTTTTTGTCGTTCAAACCTGTCAATTTTTTTTCGTGCCGGGTTTTTAAGTTCATGTCGTGTAACTTTACACGAAAGTAAGGCCTCATGATTGGGTAAGTTATAAATCAACATTTTTAATAACCGGCATTATGCTAATTTAAAATATATAATATATATATATATATATAACTTATATCTTGAAACAATAAAATTAATACTGTAATAAAATCAAAAAAAATTTATTTAACTATTTTCTCAGATTTTAACAAAAGAAGATATATTTTCAAAAGTTAGCCAAATTGATGCATATTTTTTGGCCATATAAATTATATTTTTTTATTTGCTAATTTAAAGATTTACGCATTATCGTTAAAGTGAAAATAAGTTTGGGCTCAAAAACCTGTTTCTGTTTTAAATTTTCGAAAAGAAAACGAAATGAGTAAACTTTTTTATATAATGTGTCGTAATAAATTAATACAGTAATAAATTAACTATATAGACATAACGATAAGAATTCATTTTGTGCTGATCGGACTCGTTTCTGCAAGTCGGTAATGAGTTTAACTGTCGTGTTAGATTGCAGCATCATATATCACATGTTTATTTCACATTAAGTGGGTCCAGCCAGTGTTGTACACTTTGACTGCCCGAGCCTTTTTCCGTCCCGGGACATCCCATCAAATTTCTTTTTAATCAGAAGATTTTACATATGAAAAAAAATGTTGTCTTAATAAAATTTTGAGTTAGTTATTTTTTAAAAATCTCAAATTTGTTCCAAATCTTGCTTGTCCCAACTTCCCATGTACAACACTGCGATCAGCCATATAGATATGCGTAAAAAGCATAAATAAACAGAATTTATAAATAACTGATCTCGAAATAATACGTGGCTTTAATTCGAATTCAGAGACCTGACATTACCTTTGAATCATTCTAGTGTAGCCATCCAAACGATCACTTTTTTTTAATAAAAAATTTGATCAGATCAATTGACGCTTAATAATATCAATTTAATTTGTACTGAGATAAATTATTAATTTTAGTAATTTTACTACACATACAATTATATAAAAATATATATATGAGTTTATCATGTACAGCATTTATACATGGGTGACGCCAGGGAAACCGACTTCCGTGATCAATTCAAACTCATTTTTCCTAGTTTTTTTTCTCAAGACGCCACCCATATATTAAAAAACAAAATTACATAATCTAACCAACAAATATTTAATAAAATCAATGTTACAAAATTTTTTTTTTAGTATCAAATTATTTGTCAATAACCTCAACAACTAAAGGTTGCGTGTCAAAATACATTGTTCTAGTATTAACATCTTCGCAATGGTACAAAAACTTAAAATCACCTCTAGAAAAGAAACATATAGGTAATGTGTAAGTAAATGAAGACTTTGCTTCAATCTATTAAGTAATAAATCTTTGTTAGTAAATGAGATTGAGATATATAAAAAATTAAAGACTTTATCACAATCATTACCTTTGGTAACGGCGACTGTAGCAGCCCATTCCATACCATCCTTCTTGATAAATCCCACTCCATTATTCCATCACTGTAACTCTGTACAGGTTGGATTCTGATACATAATTTGCATGATTTTTCTGAATTAAAGAATTAGTTAATGATAGTTATATATTGTATTTTAATTTTACAATAAAAAAAACCAAAATAAAATAAAATAATAATAATAATAAACCTTGATTATTGTATACAATAAATTTCACTCGTACAAATTCGTTCACAGGACACCTAAATTGATTACAAGATATTTTTGATACTCCAGGTGCCTTTTCAATGTCAATTCCAAACGAAACATCATTCACTTTTAAGACGCTTAACATAGATTTGTTTAGCCTTAGGGTTCGTATATCAACTGTACCTTTCTGACTAGTCGATGGCTATTATTTAAAATTGGGTTAAGGTTATTCTTGGCATTGGCCCTTAAGCGCACATACTATACCATAAAAAAAGGATACAGATTCCCAAATAGCTTTTACTTTTTTCAACAAGTTCTCTCTATACCAAAACAATGCAAGTTGCAGTCTTTCTTGTTCAACACTTCCTTTTGGTCCCTTTGATACTACAAATTGTTTTGATGAAGGAATTGGTAGTGTGTATTCTCTTTCACATAGCGCAATCTTTTTAATTGGTAGTATAATACTATAAACGCAAACGAAAATTTCAATTAAAAAAAGTTGCAAATAACCTAAATTGTAGCTTATTTATCGTTCATTTATTATAAATTAGAGTAGAAAGTTAACTAACCGTGCTGTAGCAGCTGGTTGGATAACAGTAGTGATGCTTAATGGTTCCATATCTTCTCCTATGAAAATAATGCATTATGATTATCTTATATTTTAAATAATTAAAGACGTTAAAATACAAGGTATACCTTCATCAGATTCAATTGTAACATCAAATGCAGAATGCCACAAATTCCTTATATCGAATGTTAACAAACAATAGTTGTTTTCCATCCTAACCATGGAATCTTCCTTTGATCCGCTATTCCAGCGCATCATTTTAATTAAATCTTCAACTAATTTATTATGCTGAACATCATGTGTACCGTTAACAGCGTTGATATAATTATCAGGACCACTTAATGGTTTGAAGTTTAGTATGTCCATAGAAACTGGTTCAAGATTTTGATGAATAGTTAAAAGAACTGGATAATAAACTTGTCTAGTGTAGAAAGTTTCATAATCAACATAATTCGGCCTATTAATATATGCATAGTCTATTTGTACCATGCCGCTAACACTGTTATCGAATAAATTAAGTTTATTAGTAAAACTTGTAAACTGAACTTTAAAATATTCTCGTAAAGGAAAGATCGACAAACCATCCACGTTTCCCAAAAAGATTAATGTTAAGAACAAATTCCTCTGCCGGTAAAATATTAAATGGTGTATCTGGCATTTCCCAAGAGAAAACAGGCTGTTTGTGAGCAAACAATTCCATCTCATAAGCTTCTTCCGCTGGGATATCGGATGATTTTAAGATGGCTTGTGTATTTTCAATTGTTGAATCTTGAAACGATAAGCTTATATAATCAACAGGAATCTTGCCCACGTTTTCGAGCTTCATTGTCATCTCCATTCTGTTATATTACATTTATATGTCAAAGATTTGGAATTAAAAAGTGAATTTTCCTTTAAAATACATACTTTTCTCCTTCAAAAAGCATAGCAGCTCCGTGCATCAATGAAGTAGACTTAATTTTAATTAGTGGTTGTTCGACAATTACAGGAACCTTTAAAAATTCTGCAACAAAATCAGGTTTTTGTTCGATGTTTGATTGAATCCTGGACTGCGAGCTATCTAAATAATCAAATCAAACTTAGAAAGATGATAAGAAACAATCGATATTCAGTCAAAGAGCTTACCCTCATGGTTTATACGATCCAATACTGCCAATCCGCTATTTTTTTTAATTAAAGGTTTCAAAAAATATCTAGGAATCCATTATACAAAATATAGATAAGTCCATATATGCTTACCATTTTTTTATTCTTTTATTATATTCATCTTCCTTTTCTTTCTTTTTAATTTCATCTGCATCAGGCGGTAAAAAAACACAAAATTCTTGTTCAAGACATCCATGAATTTTTATTTTACATCCCCTGACAATCAAATCTCCAGCTTCGGTTGGAGTGCCTGATACGCGTAACGTCACTGATGTATTGGCTGGAATAGCAGTAGACATTGGATTAGGTGTGAATCCTACCCCTTCAGCACTATAGTAGTAGTATATAAATCAAATCAGAAATTATTGCCTAATAAATATAAGAAAATAAGATTTAATAAATTTCGCAGCAAACCTCACAGAAATATTTTGGATATCTAAATCGAATGCAAAAGGGTTTGCTAATGTGACCAAAAAGTAAGCGGTCTCGCTTGCTACAAGATGGGTCTAAAATTTTAATTTAGTTATATTCTTTTTACCAAACAAATCAATAAATAAATAAATTATACTAGTAATGAGTACCTGAATAGTATCAGATTTTGCTTGAAAAGAAGGCCGATAAAGGAATGGATCTTTTTCACCGTCTTCTCTAGACAAGGCATTTTTTCCAGGACGTGGGTATGGTATTCTTCGTGGTGTAGGACTAAACAATAAATTAAGCTTATAACTATTCTGACAGACCAATAGACCAATTGCATATTATTTAGATCGAAGCTATACATACCGACATACTTGGATACCTCTAACAACATTTAAGCCCCAATATTTAAATTCCATGTCTAACCCTTGTTTTTTTCCAGCACCAACAACCCTTGGTAATGAGCTTGATAAACGAAGTTGTTCATCTCTAGGAATGTACATAAATAATTTACGTAAGAGCCTCGTTGTATACTTGATGATAGATGGATAATCTATAAAGTGGAAAAAATATTTAAATGGAAAAATATTTAAACGAAAAAATATTTAAATACAAAAATATTTCGGATATAAAATATTTAAATAATCATACCAGGTAGAGCTTCGGATACTAATAGGGCATCTTTTAATATGTCAATTTGTAGGTCCGGCCAACCAAAGGAGAGGGGTCTCACATCCTCAACTGCAGCAGAAAAATCTTCGTTATCGACAGCATCTCCCACACCATACACATCACACACCCTTTTTAAACACGTCAATAAGCCAGCGTCATTTCCAGTTTGTTGCTTTTGTGCTGATTGATAACCTGAACGAGGCTTTGCAAGAAGCGGCAAAATTAACAAGGCTGTTTGACGAAGGAAAAAAGCATGTTTTCGACGCAAATTAATTATAGAAAAAATAGTAGACAATGTAGTAGTTATATGAATCTATACATGTAATTAAATTAACGCAATTGAAAAAAAAAAATTTTTATTATTAATATACGAGCAAAAAATAAGCATATCTGAATTGAAATACCTGTTCAACTATTGACATGTCTTCAACATATGGTCCATAACCTTTCATTGCCCATTGAGTAACTTCAACTTTTGACACCCCACTAGCAGGACTTAAACCCCATTTATCATTTGAACTTTTCTCTGGAAGACCGCCTTGAACGATTAATGCTAGGGCGTTATCACCCCATCCGCCAGAAACCCATATGCTAGCCAGCATTTTAGCGACCTTTAAACAAGCTTCAGCATATATTATCGGTGGCACTTGATTATTAGATGAATTTGAAGTTTTTGCATAAAGAGTAAGGATTGTAACATATTTATCAGTTATATCTGCCCAGAGAGGTTTGGGTGTATCGGGTAAAGAAGGGCTTGATGGTGAACTTGGGTTTGGGGATGGAGGTGATTGTATAATATGTGACTTTACATATGTATATATATTAATAAACGGTATTATTGCTTAACAATGTTGCATGGATGTAAAATCTTACCTCAATATCAGTGTGTAAATATGCTGAGATAACCAAAGCAACACATAAACCTTCTAAAGCAGCTCCATGCCACAAAAAATCACTATTTGCTTTCATTGTTTCAATCGCTAATGAGTAACTGATTAAGCAAAGAATAATTTAAGAATACAAATAAATAATTTAAAAATTTTGCCTGAAAAAATAAATATATATGTTTACTTTGCTACAGCATCAGGTAACCTTCCTGCCATTAAAAACAAGTCCGCTATTAGTTTGTGAATTCTTCCTGGTGCCCTCCTTTTTAACTTCATATCAGTTGGCATGTTTACTAAAGTCGATGCTGAAAAAGATCGACCATGGAGAGGATTATCTTTTAGATTTACACCAGCAGTTGTGCCACCTAAGCCAGCAGTAGTCATGGCTTGCGAAGGTGGCGTCGGGGGTAATGTGGAAATTTGAACTGATTTTTGATCAGATGAGTAATAAGGTGCGGTGGAAGAATATCTACCATTTTGAGGTAGAGATCCATTAGTTGAAGATGCTGGAATTTTAGGCGAATTTATAATAGATTTCTTTTCAATACTGGCTGCCTTTAAAACAAAAAAATTCAATTAATCCACTAAATTTAAAGACACATAACGAATGTTTACTATACAACATACCAGATTACCAAATTCCGTTAGAATGTTGCTGGCAAAATCTGAAATCATGGTGCTCATATAAAATCCTAAATTTCCAACATTAGGTATCATTATCAGCCCTTTGGTATCATCAGGTTGATTTTCTGCGGGGTCGAATGCAAAGCATCGGTAGGCAACGGCTGACGAATACTTCCCGAAACATAGTTAAAAATTAAGACACATGTTAAAATATTAGGACCTCATATAAAACCACAGAATTCCCACTTACGTTCTTGTAAATCTCCGTAAATTTTTTAAATCCATCGTTCAAATTTGTCCATTCACAGCAATCCATAATACCAATGACCTATTTTTATGATTGATCACAATATCTTAAACTGAGCCAAGTAAAATTAAGATCCACAAATAAAATTCTAATTTTTTAAAAATTAAGCAAAAAAAAAGTTGATAACCGCAATTAACGTACCCCAAAAATTCTACGATGCATTTGAAATTCCTCAAGATAAGAATGTTCTGGTTCGTAAGAAGTTACAAAGTTTAAATGTAACTGGCCTTCATTAAATAACTGTGCGCTGAACATGGCTGTGATTTTGTTTTTTGGTGTTTGATCATTATTGAGAAAAATAAAATTATTTTGAACATAAGTAACTGATGCATTTTTCTTTTTACTATTATTTTGGTTATTGATCCTAGCCATCATTTTTTAGCTGGTTCAAAGATTTTGTTGAACAATACGTAAAACTAGTATTAAGGTAAACTTTTCAATCTTTACGATCGCTGAAAATTAAATACATTTTGAACAATTAAATCCTATATTCAGTAACAAGAATACAAGAAAAATACCACAGATCATTGCATCTCAGACTTTTTCCTCGAGTTGTTCCCTTGGAACTATTAGTTTTACCAATTAAAAGATAAGTAGGTAAAGAGTGAAATGTTGCACTTACATTGACCACCGCGCATGTCTGGGGGGACATCTCCCAATTTTACGATCGTGTGATTTTTAACCAATTCAACTTTTTGATGAAATGTTGCAGCTTTAATCGGGTGAACTGGGACAAGAAGGATGCGTATACGGGCAGGTGCTGTGAATATTAGAGGATCCATTTTTTAAACTTGTAATTTCAAGAAAGCACTTATAAATTCAAATACCAAATGTGAAATATTAAACACGGATATTGCTTATGATTGGATGATTACAATTGATTGGATGATGCATATACTACATATTAAGGCAAAATCTACAAATTTTTAAAAGTTCTCACGAAACTTCAACAAAATGGAAGAATTCAGCAATGGTGATTCTGAAGTGAACGACTCGACAATAACCAATTCGTCTGTCGACAATGCACCAAATGATACCAATGTTGATAATGTTCAGCCTGCTGTAAAAGCAGAGGAAGAGCTTCCAACGACAGCAGAGAGTGAAGCTATGACCTCAGAGGCTCCTAAGGCCAACATTGAACCTAGAGAGATTTTGCTTTCTCATGCTGTCAAATTTCTTTCTGACTCGTCAATTCTCGAGGCTGACGATGAAAAGAAAATTCAATTTTTGTTGGGAAAAGGGCTGACAAGAAAAGAAATCGACATTGCAAAAGAAAGAGCTACACGAATGGTAATTGTAGTTATGACTAGTGATTCAGATCATTAGTTGAAAAACAGCTACAGTTAAGCTTCCATATATGCACGCTCTATAAGTGTATACCCTCTATAATTGCATCCTATGCCTCAGTTCCAACTATTAGTAACATTTATAAACTACTCTTTAAATGCACACCCTCCATAAATGCATATTTATGGTCTGTCTCATGGGATGCACATATAGAAGTTTGACTGTAATTGACAACCAACAAACTAATCGATTATGAAAAATTTTAAAGTTAATCGACTGGTAACCAATTGATTCAACTACAATGGTTAGTTGTTTAATTGTTGTTAGTTTAGTTGATTAGATTAACGTTGCTTTGGCTTTCAATAAAAGTTGCAAAAATAGTTTTTGTAATTCTAATGGAACATTTTTACTTTTCGTGACTATATATTTCTTAAATTTATAAGGAAAAACATATTGTCACGAAAACCAAAATGTTTCTATCTCATGATCTACTACCATTAGAATTACAAAAACTATTTCTATAGCTTTGATTAGAAGCTGAAAGGTTTAGTATCACATACAGTAATAAAAATACTAAATGGGCTACGTGGCTTTTCATAATTAATTAGTTGCATCTAACGAGGTGGATTAGTGGTGGTAGAAACGATCCTCGATCCCGCGATTTCCGAGCAAAATGTATCCAATAAAACTCAGAATACCATCACATGATCATTAATAATTATGAAATTTTCTATGCGAATTCCGATATCACGGAGTCCTAAATTGCTCGGAAATCACGGGACCGAGGATCGTTTCTGCCAGGGACGATTAAATTCCGCGTGTCGCTTAATGTTAAGACAAATTGTGTGATTTAATGTGGTCAAATTTTCCAATTTCTGTACAATGCGATTATAATTCTCTAAAAACATGACTCCTGATGAACGTTCTTGTAAATTTACGTTGATTCATTGTCTACAATCGATATTGATATTCTGCGCTACTTTTAGAATTATGATATTCTACGGTGACTAAGGTTGATTTTTGTGGTTGACTGTGTTTAAGAGAAAATCTATTGTTTTCCGTGATCACAGAAAATCATCGTCCCTGCCACTAATACAGCGTTAGGGTTGTAAACCTGCATTATAACTCACATAATTAACTTATATAAAATTGCATTGTAAATTATATCAGATTTTGAAATTTAATGCAAGTTTACAACCATAGTTGAAACATAGTAATTAATCGATTTAGCATTATAATTATAATGATCCACTAACAAACGAACTACGAACTTTGTTCATAGCTTCCTACGCCCATACCCCCAGCAGTTCCTCCTCGTACATATGCCCAGCCAATGCCCGTGTCGAGGACGCCTTTGTGGAAACAACTTGCTTTCGTTTTACTTATAACCGGTACTTTTAGTGCTTTCATGATTGCAGTGATCAAGGTAGCCACTATCCCAACATCCAACGTTTCACGCGTCTATAATTTTTAATCACTAATATTGTTATTTAGAAATTTCTTGGTCCAATGGTTACTTCGATCATTTTTGCCAAGCAACAACTCTATTCTCATCAACTTTCCCTCTTTAGAAAATTTAACGAAGCGCTTTTATCATTCGTATCTCTGCTAAGAACACCTCGTGTGCCGCCACATGATGACTCGGATAGCGATGAAGAATTACCAACTCCAACTGACCAAGATGAAATATCAACACCACCCTCTTTGCTTGCTCCACTTTCAACTGACTTAACAACATTGTCAGAAAGATTGAATACGTATCAACAAAATCTAGAAAAAAATAATGACTTATCAGATTTAAAACTTTCAGTTAATACACTAACAGCATATCTCACGGAAAATACATATCCATATAAAAATTGGACTAACAGTGAACGTGGAGATTCAGCAGTAGCAAAAATCAAAGAAGAAATTAGAGGATTAAAAGGATTATTAATCAATCGCAGAAATTTTCCAAAAATCCCTGCAACACCAACTACTTATTCATCAACATCTAAACCACCAACAGAACCACAAATACAGGAAATTGAATGAACAGTAAATATAAAAGACTAAATCAATCGTAAATAAACCTCGGATATGCTTGCCAATTTATGGCATTTTGTATGTATAACGGATTTTTAGAGAACATTTAAGGAGTGAAGAAATAACAGAAAAACAATGTAATTTCTTAACCACTGTATATTTTATTATAAACGTTTTGGCTCGTTGATAATATTATTGTCGCTCCCATGCTATTTTTCAACCTAATCTGATAATTAAATTATAGGGTTTGAAAATTGCAAATTTAATCGTTATAAAAATAGATGTTGAAGACCATAATAGTGTAAAAATTTCATGTTAACAAGCCTATTTAGATTATGAATATGAATGTTTACTTGTAATAAAAATATTCTAGCCGTTAGGTATTATCGGAAACGAAGTTTTGCTTGTACAGTACACGTAAAAGGCGCGACAAAAATATCCAGATAAAATACTATACTTGCGTAATTTGAAAATGGCTGATCTATCAATGATTTTGAGATCGTACCCGAGTATTAATAAATTACCCGTTAACCGGGTAGTTTTACTATAGCTATATAATACCGTTTTCTACCCGGGTACAATCTCTAAAACGAATTGACGGTTCTCAAAATATACTTGTTAAATGATGCACTAACGAAAATTGAATTTACAAAAAATATTATTATCAATCATCATATGCTTGTATCTCAAGAACTGTTGATCCATTTTCAATAATTTTTGGTCTAAATGAATGCTAATGTTCGAAGCATTAATTTGCATCCAAAATTATTATCCGTTCTTGAGATATCGATATTATTTGATGATGCATTCATTGCGAGATCGAAAATGAAATAGCAATCTTATAATGTTGATATCTCAAGAATACAGAACCTTTTTTTGATGATTTCTGTTTTAAATAAATGCTTCGAATCATAGCATTTATTTAAAGTCCTAAATCATTGAAAATGGTTCAGCCCTTCTCGAATTACATTGAATTACATAAAAATTTGGATATTTTTGTCATGCACTTTACCAATCAGGTGTTTTTTTAGACGAAACTATTTTTAAAATCCAAAACTCTTCGCTCTGCTTATGTGATTTACATAGTGATTACACTATAATCAAGCATAAATTTGTATACTAAAATGATTTTTGATCTAAAATGAAAGCATGCCACTTCTGATTACTATATAATTCTTATTTCATAAATTTTTTTATCAATACTCCAAAAATCAGTTATTTAGTGTTAACTGTAATAGTAATTAATAGGATCTTTGTACATACCCTAATTTAATACTAAAAAAGGCACTTCATGTGACACTTATAAAGATTTTTTACAATCATTATGCAGAGGTCTCTTTTATAATATAATTTTAAAGTTGATCAAGGATTTTTCATGATCAACTTTATATAATTGATTTTTGAGATGATCTTAAAAAGATATAATAGCTCAAAAGTATAGGTAAAATGATCTATTTTTTAGCCATCATGTAAACTTATATCTTCTAATTATATTACATAGAGTATTTTACATCATAGCTGCAGATGTATTATGTAACTTGGATTTTGAAGAATTACTACCATCAATTAAAATAAAAGTTTATAAAAAAAAAATTTTTTTTAAGCTCAATTTTCTTCAAAATATTTTAGTATACAAATTTGTATATTAAACTTAATGGTTTAAGAAATAGTGAAATTTATTACTCACTTAGTTAATAATATTAATCATACTATATATTTAGTAATTTTGATAATTTATTAAATAAAGTAGAGTTAATAGAAAAAGGACAAATCAAACTCTTCCCGACGATCATCTGGACCAAAATTCCTACCGAAGAAAAACAGAAATTTTGTTGGAGAGTTGTGGCCTAACATAGCGGTTTGCCTAGAGGTCAATGATTTCTCTGCCGGGACTTCTCTATGTGGGCATTTGGCATACAAGCCAAGAGCGTTATTATACAAGATAACTGGCAGGAGGTGCCCTGTATAAAAAATCTTGGTGATGGAGAGGACTCTTTGGATATTCCGGACATTTCTCTTTTGCTATCGACAAAGCTCTTAGATCGTTACTTCAAAGAAGAACACAGGGGAACAACAAAATATAATGTTTTTCTTTCAAGCCGCACTCTTTTCACTTGGTCAAGTGGTTCCCTTTAACTCTAAGTTCATGAGATTTATTTGTCATAAAAGAAAAGGAAATATAAATCCATTATTGGATGCACTGCATCCC